ACAACTAAGAGTTTCATGCTTTCTGCTATCGTCAGCTCAAACTTTTTAGGTTAACACCACTTACTTAACATTTCTGGTTATCGCAAGATATTTTATTGTTAGGGTGGATTATTATTGTTGTTAATTATTAAAATAAATTGTAGTTTAATTTTGGATTTGAATTTAGGCCTAGATTAATATTTAAGATTGAAAATAAGATTTATAAATTATTTAAAAACAGATGCGGTGATGGAAAAAAAAAAGTTTGGAAATCAAGGGGGGTAAATCTACTTTTTGTATGAAAATCAATAAAGAAATTAATATTAATATTAATAAATTTAACATTAATAATGATAAAATATGCAGTTATAAAATAAAATTAATATACTAATAAAAATAATACATAATGAAAATAAGATAAAATAAAAACATAAATATAATAATAAATAATAATCATGATAATAAAAACATTATGTAGTAGGACTAAAGGGAAAAGTAAGATAAAAAACAATAATAATGTTTATATAGTAAAAATGATAAGATAATAAAAATAATTGATTAGCATAAATGTTAAATGCATTACAGTCTAATAATAACAATAATTATATAGTAAATATAAAAATAAATAATATAGTAAAAAAAAAATATTAATAAAAATAAATAATATCAATACTAATCTTTATGGTCCCATATATATATATATATATATAATATTCAGATGCATGTGCATGGATAGTATTTTGTAAACTTGAGTTTCATGCTTTTGTGATCATCAGACAAACTAGCTTATTTATACAAAAGTGGATCTATTTATGCTTATTTGTGTGTGGAGGAGGAAGAGGAATTTTCTTCTGTGTTTGTTTGAGATGACACTCTCACATACATAGATGCACATACATACAGGTGTATGCATTTTAGTTTGTGCAAACACACCCATATAAATAATCTGAGGTTAGGCTCATTGATCTAGGTCCATTACTACTATGTTGGTTAAGTGTGGATACGTGTCTACATATATGTGTGAGTGAATGTGAGCTTGTCTGACGGTGCATACAGCTGATCTGAAAAATGTCAAGACCATTCCGTCCTGTTCTTTGTTAAGAGAACATTTCTACATATGTAATGCTACAGTCTTGACACTGAAATAGGATTACAATTGCGTATATATATGTGTGTGTGTGTGCTTGAATGCATGTATGCGTAGTTGCACCTAGCCTCAGATTATTTATATGGGTGTGTTTGCATGAACTAAAATGCATACACCTGTATGTATGTGGGTCTATGTATGTAAGAGTGTCATCCCAAACAAACACAGAAGAAAATCACCCCCCTCCACCACACAAATAATCAAGCACAAATAAGCATAAATAGATCCGCTTTTTAAAAAATAAACCAGTCTGATGATTGCAAAAGTGTGAAACCTGGGGTTACAAACTACTATCCATGCAACTGAATATGTTAGCTCTGTCACGGATATTGAGCACTTTCCACTAAGTGCATATATATATATATATATATATATATATATAGTTATGAACTTGTAGCATATAGATGAACCACGGGTTCTAAAAAAAAAAGGAAAACGTGATTTCTTTTCTCGGATAGGGCGCAAATCACGCAGTGCTTGTGTGATGGCCAAAAGTTCAACACATGCTCAGTATGTTCCGATCACGTGAATCGCAGCAGGAGACCCTGATGGTGCTTGGAATTCACTTATGGTCAGATGCGAAATCTTGGAACCAGGTCACTCTCGCGTCGAGTCACTTCAAAGTTCACGGGCCCTTGGCTCGTGGGTGGAAGAGAGGATAAGGAGAGAAAGAATTTGGGAAAAGAAAAGAAGGATATGGCTGATCATAGAATATATTCGTTCGCGAGTCGGAAGCATTGGATTAAATTTCTGTTTTTATTTATTTATTTATTTTTCTTTTATATCTGACTAATTTTCTCTTTATTTGAGATTTTACTTTAGCCTAACGCCTATATGGTTAATGAAATCGTGGCTACGTGACAATATATATATATATATATATATATATATATATTCATCCTCAGTGTGGCTAGATGTCCGATTGCTTCAAGCCGGGATTGAAACCCGACTGATTTGACATCAGTCAGATATCTTACCCCTAATTCATCGTCACATGCCAGAAAGGAAATGAATTTTAATGTTTTTCTCTATATGAAATATGCCAGCAGCTTGGAGAACTCACTTCATACTTGAATATATTGTTATCAGTAGATATGTGCGAATGTAGATTTATCTGTGTACTTGTATTTACTTTTTCTATATAGATATTATAAATAAGTTTTTGTATGCACACCTTTTGTATATTTATGTAAATGTGTATATGTCATGATATTTGTGTTTCCATTTGTATTATATTTAAAACTACATATTAGAAGTGGATATTTGTATATCAAGGTATGTGAGTATGTGTATTTAATATTATTTTAGTACCCCTAACTGTAAATAAATGGGCTGTCCCACTATTAATACAATATGGTATAGATATAAATATTTAAATTATGCAATTGTTAGTTTTCAATCAGCACTTGATGATTGCTTTATACATGAAACTCAGAGGAGGAAAAAATCTGTTTTATATATATATATATATATCCACAAATCCATATATATATATATATATATATATATATATATATATATATATAATCCACAAAATATGAAGAAATTCAGAAAAGTGAGGAAGATCATGAAGATGGGTGGAGTGAAGAAAAATAGGAAAAACTAAAATTTTATATATATATATATATATATATATATATATATATATATAAATAATTTTACCCCCCCCAACTCACGCCTTCATGATCTTCCTCACTTTTCTAATATTCCTCACATTTTATGTGGATTTCTTGGTCAGAAAGTGTCACTGATTCCCAACTCAGAAAGGCTGAGGGTTGGTAGATATTTTTTGTGACGTACAGTTGCCATTAATAATTAAGTATAACTCAAGACTTCAATGTTAAAATAAAACCGTATTTAATTACAACTGCAAATAAATACTTAACAAGAACAAAGAAGTAAAAGTCAACCAAAGATAATTAACCATTTTAGTGAATACCTTGTTAGTAGCTCGGATAAGCTCAACGTCCGGTAAATCCTAAATCAAAACCCAAATCATCGACACACAATAATTCACACTAATTCGACTGGATAGTTACACTCAGTAGTCACTGCAGTCAGTAGCCTGACACCATTATTTATACACCTGGTGGAAAACGTATATTCATAAGTACAGAGTATCATGCTCAAACCTCGGTGTCAGTAGTTACTCATTTTTTTCGTATATGACAATACTACTCTCTGATGTTAGGTAGATTAGCAGAATAGTCATATATACAACCAAGCTGAATAATAGGAGGGGTTGCTGTTCTCTGTCCTACTCCTTTCCTTAATCAATATTTCAATGATCGAATATCAGAATACTTATTTTGGGAAGTGGGCCTGCCACTGCCTTGTCGTATAGATCTTTGAGAAACTTGTGAGTGTTAAAAAGAAAAAAAATGTTCTGCCCTGGTAATTTCATAATTTTCTTATGGTCAGTTCTTATATTATCTATATTTGATATGAAACGATGCTGAAAACTTCATGTCCTAACCAAATGATCATGCATCAAAATTATTGTAGCTTTTTCATCTCCTCTTGGTTGGGCTGAGAACTCCTCATATTTCAAATTTATAATTTTTTTTAACTTATTTTTTTTTTCTTCTACTTAAATTTTTTGATGAAATCATTTAGACTTTTCAGTTTTTCTTTGTCATTCAGCAAAAGCTTCATTCCCGCCACAGATTATCCAGAGTCTTACGTTCGAAATTTATTGAAAGAGGTGAGTTGAAAATGAAAATATTTGGAACACGGTTTGTTTATTGATATTTTATTATTTAACTTAAAAATTTTTCTCTCTAGTATCTGTCTTGCACAATTATAAGTCTACCATTTGTCCATGCTTTAAATGTTACTGCCACATCTGGTCTGATGCTTCTGTTTCTTGACAAAATTCAAAGAAGAACCTGACTTGGCATCTCAACTTTAGTCACTTTCCCACCACCATAATGTAGATTCATAATGTAGATTGCCTTTTTCTATAAATATTTTCAGTGTAATTATTTTGATGAGCTTTAATCTTTGTTGCCGAGACTTCACAAATTTAAGCGCAGTATTAGATTGACAGTTTGGAATTGATTGTTGTAACTGTCAGTTCTATTCCAATAGTTTCTTCCTTTGCACTTCTCGCTAGTGGAACATCTTCTTCTGGATTCTTGCTTTTTCTCTCAACTAGGATCTTCAAAAATTTAAATGCAATATCAATTGTTATCTTCTGTCTCCTTGGGTGTGTGGGTGGTGTAATGGATAATGGCTCAGAATCAGAAATTGGAGAGCTGAGTTTGAAATCCAGTCAAGAGCGTTATATTTACTTACGTGCAAATACCCTTGGAAAAGATATGAATCTATCTTTTCTCTCACCTCAGCTAAGGGTTAAATCAGTAGTTCCCAAACAATGCGGCATGTGTTACAGGTACAACGGAAGAGGATAGCAGGTGAGGTGGAATGATTGAAAGACATACAAAGATTTAGAAACAGTTGAAAAAAATCAATATGCCAAAATTTTATCATTGTGAATAATATATCTTATATATATATATCAAGTTTTTGTGATATCAGTGAACACTCATTTGACACTTTTATAATGTCAACAAATACTCGTTGTCACTTTTGTAATGCAGATAGAACTATAGTACGCTGTTGAACGATGCTGGTGTCAGATGCCTTTGAATATCACTTGCACTAATAGTACTTGCTCGATTATACTCACTCAAATACTTATTCATATGGTGATCCAAATAGAGAAATATTATAGAGAATAGCAGTTTGTATAGTAATCGACGATAGAATAGAAATGCAATCCTTTAGACGTTACGCAACTTCCTACTTATATGTATTTCCTCTATGGCCACGTGGTTTACTTAATTCAATAATGGGATTGCCTGTTTGCTCACTGGTGATCAATGTTCAAACTCAAGTGTTAGCAGTGACACTTTATTGCTATATAACACAAGTATTAAGAATATAGTAACTAAGGTTTGCAAATTGGAGGAGAGAGTTATCAATAATAATGTTCTGACTTAGAATCTGCATTTATTTCCCTTTAACCCTTGCTCTCTCTCTCTCTCTTTTCTATATTTTTAAATGTACTTTTTATCACATAAAATTTGGTGATGCGTGCGCAAATTTTAATTCCTAAAATGCAGCCCAGAAAAAAACATTTGGGAACCACTACTAGGTTAAAGAGTAGGACTTGTATTTGGAAAAATCATTATCGCCAAAAGTTGTTAATGCTATATTTGCTTGCAAAAACAAAAAATATTCTTACAAGCTAAAATATGTATTGGCTTTAAATAACTAACAAAGGGTTGGTAAACTGTAAAATACAAATCAATCAATCTTCTGTTTTCTTGAATCCTGTTCTTTTATTGACCACTTTGTTTCTTTTACTCTCAATAATGACTTGTATCTTAGTGGCTTTTACTGCCTTGCTTGGGGTGAAATGATTAAAAAAAAAGTGTAATTAAAATAAGTTTGTGCCTGAAATAGAAATATGGTGAACATCAAACTGTCCTTTTATTCTGATCTAAGAAAATTAAAATAAATTTAATTGCAAAATCTTAATAACATTGCTTTGTGTTCTGAAAGTCTAGAAATTGTGGGAGAGACTGTGTGAACGTCAGATGCAGGTGAAAGTGTGAACGTCAGATGCAGGTGACAGTGTGAACGTCAGATGCAGGTGACAGTGTGAACGTCAGATGCAGGTGAAAGTGTGAACGTCAGATGCAGGTGAAAGTGTGAAACTTAACAAAAAAAAAAAATTATTATTTTTTACCTTTGGGAATTAATACTATTCTTAGTAATAGAGAAAATGTTTCATCTAAAAAGCAACAAAGAAAATTATTGCTACATAGCCAAGTAAATATCATGTAGAAAATTAGAAATGAGTGAACAATAGAATAATTTGAGACTCAATGAGGTTTTTGTAGACAATATTGTTAAAGGTGATAGGTGTTGAATGATGCAAGGAAAGGCTCAATACTATAAAATCTAGCAATGGCTAATATTTATTAATTATGCTATAGCTTATTAAATCTCTCTTGCATTGGTAAAGTCAGGTGGCAGTGTCCTTTCTATAACAATAGTGAATTGTTTGAATGAATAATGCGTAGAAAGGCTTGTCACTGTGAAACCCATAAATGACCAAAAACAAATTAAAATAGGGGATATTGGTGTATAATTGTCAGTCAGTTATGTGCCATGCGTGATACATGCTTAGGCGATCATGTATCTTTCAATACATGACTGACAAGGCAGATTTTTTTCCACAGTAGGTTGCCATTTCTTTCTGCAGTAGACCAGTTGCCATCCAAGGCTATAAACCTGGTCTGTCCTGCTATTTACCCATAGCTGGGGAGAGAAGAAGAAGATTCATGCCTTTCCCAAGGTTATTAGCACGTAAGTGAATGTAATGGATCTGACTGGAATTTGAACTCGGCTCTCTGATTTCTCAATCCGAGCTGCTATCCATTACTCCACCATGCCTCCTATAATTTTATAAATGGGTAAGTAGGTATGTTTGGTGGGTGACAGAAGAAAAGAAATATTGAAAGACTTACATGTGAAAACCTAACATTGTCTAGTTCTACCGGTTCAGACATTTACAAGACCAACTAAGCCATATACTCAGGGAGGAACCATCCTCATTCTCTTTGTATTCCATTCACAAGGAAGAAGTTCTATTTGGACAGTCTCTTTCCAAGGGCCACAATCAAATCTTGAGAGGATGCTTCTCTGAACACTACAATCTTTGCCTCAAGTCTAGGGGCAATCATTACCTATCGTGTATCCTTATAATCTGCACACTTTCCCTTCCTATATCCATACAACAGCCTCATTTAGTAACCTGCTGTAAACTGAAATTAAAGGAACTCGGACACGTGATGGAAAGAGAATGCCTTATTCAGATTTCTTTGTTTTCCATGTGTGTGAGGCCTATTATAATGGCTGTTCAGCACCTTCATGATAAGACTGTTTCTTCCTAGCTTGAAGAGTATCCAAGGGGAAGAACTCATGAAGTGTAACATCACTACCTCGAGTGGCTCTTGGAAACCTTGTTATGGGTGAACATTTAGTTAAAAAAAAAAAAAAGAAAAGATAACAGGTAATCTTGTAATGATGAATATTGACCCAGTGTTGTGATAAATATCAATAAGATAGTTAAACCAGTAATAAAAATTAGCAATTAGGTCTTGTTTTACTGTTGTACTAATAGGCGTAATTGTAAGTTCTATTCAAATAGTTTCTTTTCTTGCACTTCTCACCTGTGGAACTTTCTTCTGGTTTCTTGCTTCCCTGTCATCTACAATCTTCAAAGATTTAAAAGTGACATTAATTGCTCTCTTCTGTCTTCATGAATCCTGTTGTCTTGTTATTCTTTCTCCTCACTAACGTCTTCTCATTCTTTTTCACTCTCAGTAAAATCTAGTGTCTTAGTGGCATTATCACCTTGCTTGGGGTGAAATGATTAAAAAAAAAAAAAATACAATGTGACAGTTCATTTTTTTTTTTCATTGCAGAAGAGATTTCAATGCTTTTTTTTCTTTCTTAGATTTTCTATTAAAACAGGAAATGTTACATTAACAAAAAAATGCTTTGCTTTTAGATTGTAATAGTGAAAGGTGTCTTCCACAAGCTAAACAAAATATTGAGAAATATCATTAGAAACAAAAAAGAAGAGTGCTGAACTGCTATGTAATATCAATTCTTCCATATGGCAGTGAATGCTGGACAGTCTCCTCACACATGAAGTGTCAACAGAGATGTGGTTCTATAGAAAGTTGCTGAGAATACCATGGATGAAGCATGTGAGCAATGAGGAAGTTTTAAGCAAAATGGAAACAAAAAGAACACTTGAAATCAGATAGGTGAAATTTTGGGGAAACAGGATGGGGGAAAGAATGCTTGGAAAATTTGACACTCTGTGGGCATATTGAAGGCAATAGGGAAAGAGGAAGACAGAATGACCTACCTGATGAGCTTGTGTAAATCAATGGCAAAATAAGGAGTGGGAGGTATAATGAAGAGATATAAAGAATGGGAAGTTGTGGAGAACCATGATCGCCCATGTCCTGAAGTACTCACCAAAGATCATAGTATTTGAATTTTTTTGCCTTAGACTGTGTGCTGGTTATTTTCGGAGTAAAAGTTTCAGATGATGGAGTTTATATTTGGTTAAGAAAAATTAGTTTAATTTTGTTTTATATTTAAACGATTGTTTTTTTTTGTTTTTTTTTTTTTATACATTTTTGGAAAAAAAATTATTTGTATTTTCGTTTTGTGTTTCAGTTACGTCAACTGCCACCAATATCATCTGGAAATCTGGATGGAGTCTGGGAAGCACATATTGCCAACTTTATGCGTTTGCTCCAAAGAAAAGCAATTTGTCTTATCAAATATGTTGAAAATGAAACGTGAGTATGTCTGATCTTTTCAGGTTTCCATATAAAATTGAATGAATGAAAATAGTTAATTTAATGAATGCTTTATGGACTTTAGAGAAAATACCTTTCTTTTTTTTTTAATTTTATTTTTTTGTAATTATGTTTTGTAAATAATGAAAATATTTGTTTATAGCAGGTGTTTTTTTTTTTCTTTTTTCCTTTTTCGTTTTTTTCCTTTTTCCTTTTTTTTCGTTTTTTTTTCTTTTTTTTTTTTTTTTCCTTTTTTTTTTTTTTTTTTTTTTTTTTTTCTTTTTTCCTTTTTTCCTTTTTTTTTTTTTTTTTTTTTTTTTTTTTTTTTCCTTTTTTTTTTTTTTTTTTTTTTTTTTTTTTTCTTTTTTTTTTTTTTCCTTTTTTTTTTTTTTTTTCCTTTTTTTTTCTTTTTTTCCTTTTTTTCCTTTTTCCTTTTTTTCTTTTCTTTTCCTTCTTCCTGTGAACAGTCTAAAATAATTTCCTTAATCATAATTACTCAAATATTTTAAGCATTTATGACTTATCAAACTTATTTTTTTAAATTTTCTTAACCTTTTCCAATTTATATTATCTACATGGTGTGGCAAAAATACATTTCACATAAAGATAAGACATTAACTAGATGAAGACACCATTGCCAGTGACGTCTTACCATAATATGGGAGGTATTTCTGCTGCAACCCCTACAATTTTTTTCTAATAGGACAGAAAATTAAAAAAAAACCTAATCCCATTTAATTATTGATGGTAACCATATGATTAATGAATCATATACAGTGCAATGAAAATAAAACTCAAGATTTAATAAAAAAAGAAATTTTAGTGAAGCAATTCAGGAATTCTTGATCTTGGTCAAATTAGGATCACTTCTGGAAAATGTGACACTGAAATCCAAACATGTATTGGAATAGCAAAAGATGCCTCCCAAAAGCTAAGCAAAGTATTAAGAAACAGGAAAATCTTTTTAGAAACAAAGAGTGCTGAACTGTTATGTAGTATTAGTCCTTCTATATGACAATCTCCTCACAAATGAGAAGAAAACTGGAGGCAGCAGAAATATGATTTTATGGAAGGATGCCGTGAATAGTGTGGACAAAGTGCATAAACAATGAAGAGATCTAAGGGAAAATGAGAACAAAAAGGAGAGTATCAGAAAGTAGCAGCTGAAATATCTTGGATACATCATTAGGAAGAAGAGCTTGGAGAATTCAACACTCACAGGACATATCGAAGACAAAAGGGGCAGGTGTCAGACAAACGTTTTCGAAAGAGTAGACAATTTATTTTACAATGATGTTCACCCTGTACAAAGCCATTCAAGGTAGAGGATTACAGAGTAAAAGGCACAATTTATGGGGATACATGGGGAAGATAATGATTAACTCTAGGCTTGAACAAGATTGTAGTGATTGGAGTAGCACCCTCTTGGAAGTTAGTTTCACAAAGCAGCAGTTTGTGGGAAGAGGCTACTCAAATAGAATTTACATCTGACCAATGGAATAAAAAGGGAATGATGGTGTGTTGTAACCTAGAGAAGGTTATTGAATAGAGTAATCAAACAAAGGTTGGTAATGAATGATAATACTTAGGACAAGAACAACACATATAAGATCACCAGTGGTGTGTCAAAGAAGTAGTCAACTGCTAGGAGTGAGTGAAATTCATACAATGAATTTGTGTGAAGTGAACACAATGAAATAAATATCACAATGAATCTCCAGCTGCAGACCAATATACAGTATTTACTATATTTATGTGAATGGGGACATACCCATTATCTTCCATAGGTATGCTACAAAATGGTGGTTCTTACCTGTGAAGGTTAGAAATTATGGCACTTATTTAAATATATCCACTTCCCTTGTATGTTGTTTTGCTAATCTTTCATTCCAGCTAATGGATCTATCAGACAGAACCAAATTAACTGGTGGGTACTAGAATTTTATTAGTCTTTTTTTTTTTCATCTGCACAGGACTTTGTTGTTAAATTCCAAATTATTGCCAGTTTTGAATTGTTCTCTGAGCTCATAACTTCCTGTAAGAAATGTTCAGCTCTCTTTTCTTTGTTTCAAATGAAATATTCCTTTGTCTTAATGCTCTGTTTAGTTTCTGGAAGGCATCTTTTGATCTTTTGCTATACTACTATGCCTTCAGATTTCTGTGTTTTGGGAAAATTTAACCATCCTTTCTCGGTTTCTGTGCTCATTAACATAGTCTGGATGCCAAAAAAAAAAAAAAAAAAACACATTGGGATGATTTATTCAGCTGGTGAAAAGCTGAGAGAAGGGGTTCCATTTTATATTCACACAATCTCATTCCAAGAATTATTTGGACTCTTGCTCTCATTGTGTTGTTTTGTTTTTGCTGTTGCCACAATGTTTTGGTGTAACCATTCTACAGTCTTCTTTCGGTGTGCAATCTGTAAGGAAAGGGAGCTGTCACTTTTTCTATGGAAGTAGGTGGTAAAGAGAAAAGAAATGATGGTTACTATATTGACTGGTTTGATTCATTCCCAGCAACATGATCCACACACAAGATATTATTCTTTCTTTGCACAGCAAGTGGGGAACTGTAACAGAGATTATTGAGAATGGCATTTGTCTTCCACACGAGAGCTGGGAATGAGCCAAGCTAATTACCATTCATTCTTGTTCACTAATTCATTTTTATTTTTTCCTTTCTTAACATGTTGACTGTCAGATGTTAGTTATGAGATCTTCAAATGGCATCTAGTTTGGATATTGGACTCTTTTGTTTCTTTTCAAATGCTTTGTTTATATTTTGAATAAATTCTTCTGATAAAAGTTTGTTTTTAGTTACCAGTAAGATTTTTCATTATTGCCATATTTGCCAGATATCATTTATTTGCATTAAAAACAGCTCATGGTTGTAGCCTGGATGGCAAGGCACTAAAACAATATGACTTGTAGCTGGCATCATTTATCTACCTACCTACCTATCTATATATAAAATTCTGTGACTTCCATCCATCTGTTTATCACACCCTCTAAAATAGCCATCCATTGACAGGAAAGAGTGTATAAAGTACAGTATTAAATTTGTTTTTAATATAACTTTACATAAGTTGCCTAAACTAGCTGAAATCAGTTATTTTTGAGCAATTTTGACTACTTTTTAAGTGTTTTCATAATTTTGCAAAAACCAATTTTATTTTAACAAGAATCCAGTGTTTGCAAGAACTATAAACAAATCACAAGGCCAAATGCTTTTGGCTCCATAAAAAAAATATTTATGCATAGCCATATGTTGTATGCCCAAGAGTAAGAAATTCCAAGAATTTATTCTTTGCTGTTAAAACAGAAAAAAAGAAATTTTCTTAAAAAATATTGTTTATCATGAAGTCCTATAAATTAAATTAAAGAAATTGTTAATTCATGAAATAGGGATTTTGTCAAAATATTTTTCCAAGCATATCAGCTTATTCAAATTTCATTGAATGGTTTGTTTGGTTTGGTTTGTTTTGTTTTACATCATATCAACCTCAGTGGGTTATTTAATGCCGACAACTTTTTTTTCCTAAAATCTATTTCTGTTAATATTTTTTCTCAAAAATGTATAGCTGGTAATATTATTTTTTCAAAAACGTATAGCTGGTAATATTATTTTTTCAAAAACGTATAGCTGGCAACATTATTTTTTCCAAAATATATTATCAGAGGCCTTGCTATTAGACATAGTTTGTAGTTTATCGTCATACCCAGGACGCCGAATGGTTTGTGAAACTGAATGAAACATAGTGTTTGTAAATCTCGACTAAAAATGTTAACAATAACTTCAACAATACTAAATACTCTGAGTATTTCAACATTCATCAGCATGTGGGAAAAAACTTCTAGTAATAAAAATTGCCAGCCACAAGTTATTTGATGATTTACAATATGTTCAGTATTGTTAACTGTAAGAGGTCAAAGGAATAGATTGTCTGAAAAGAATTAACATATTTGATGATTGACAATGTTACTAGTCCTGACCTGGCATGTCAGCTTCAGTCACTTTCCCAATGCCGTAAAGTAACTTCCCTGTGTATATTGTATAAATACTTTGATGGTAATTGTTCTGATGAGCTTTCCTTGTTGGTATCTTGACTTCACAAATATAAGCCCAGTACTAGATTGGCAGCTGAGTTTCATAATTTCATTGTTGAAATTATTAGTTGTAATTGCACGTTCTATGCTAATAGTTTCCTTCTCGCTTGTGGAACTCTCTTTCAGCTTCTTGCTTTCCAGTCATCTTTGATTAATATTTTAATGCAATGTCAGTTGTCATTTTCTATCTCTTTGAATCCTGTTCTTTTGCTGTTCTCTCTGTTCCTTTCACTCTCAGTAACCGACCCCCCCCCAATCTGGCTTTTATTGTCTTGCTTAGGGGGAAATGATTAAAAAAATTGGAAAAAAAACATGGCTTTTTTTTTTTTTTTTTTAATGGTTTAAAAATATCACTCTACATCTTTTACCCCCAGCCTGACTCCATAATAATTTTATTTACTCAAGCATTATTATCATCATCATCATTATTATTATTACAATAATAATAATTATCATAAAGTGTTGGTGACATTTGTCAGTTCTTGCTGATCCATCCAATGTAAATATGTCTCAACATCCACCAATCATTAACTACATAGAAACTTAAGAATACAGAGATGTAAGTGAAAGGAAATACCAGTAATGGTAAAACACTACTTAAGAAACATAACATTAAGGCTACAAAGAAATATATCATTTGAAGCTGAAAAAGAATTATGATTTCTCACTTTATATTCAGTTGTGCTGCTTGTTTGCTTTTTATATACAGTAAGGTTTTCTTATATAGCTAAAGTATTTGTTTTAATGTTTCACAATGAGCAGTTGGGGCATCTAATATGGCTGTGTCTTTTATGTCATCAAATACAGTACTCTTGGAATATGAATAGGCCTCTGATTAAAACTACAAGTTTTTTTTTTTTTTTATCAATTTCAAATTCATTTAAAATAATCGGACACCTCCACTCATTTAATTTTGAAAACTGTGCCACTCACATTCATTTAAATATATAACTTGGAAAATTCCTTTGAAAAGGTGTAGAAAAAGTAAGTTACCTTATTTTAAAAAGTTCATTGCTTACAAGTGTTAATCTGTTAATTCAACATTGAAGTGTACAAGGGTGATGTAAACCTGGAAAATGACATCTCTATCCATTGTCAATATTGACAAATGGAGACCAGTTATTTTTTTTATTAACATGTGCATTTTGCAAAGTCATGAATTCAACTGCCTTTGAGCCGTGTCTCATTGCAGGCAGTTTAACCATTGTCTTGTCACTGTTACAAGCAACCGATTCTTCTGCGTCCTGGGTATGGCGATAAACTACATCCGCGTCCTGGGTATGGCGATAAACTACGTCCAATAGCAAGGCCTCAGATAATGTTTTTGAAAAACTAATGTTGCCAGCTATACGTTTTTGAAAAACTAATGTTGCCAGCTATACGTTTTTGAAAAACTAATGTTGCCAGCTATACGTTTTTGAAAAACTAATGTTGCCAGCTATACGTTTTTGAAAAACTAATGTTGCCAGCTATACGTTTTTGAAAAACTAATGTTGCCAGCTATACGTTTTTGAAAAACTAATGTTGCCAGCTATACGTTTTTGAAAAACTAATGTTGCCAGCTATACGTTTTTGAAAAAATAATGTTGCCAGCTATACGTTTAATAGTACTATATATTTAATATATATATATAGGGATATATAATATATATATGTATGTATATGTGTGTGTATATATATATATATATATATATCTAACTTAATTTGGCATTAAATGACCTACAGTGGTTGATATGCCATAAAACCCAACCAACCCATTCTTCCATAATTATTTTTCTTCTATTTTATTTTTATTTTTTCTATTGGAGCAAAAAATCCATTGTCAGTATTGACAAATGGAAACTGTTTTAGGTTAAATACCTATTGAAAATTTTCTATTTTTCAGTAAAATACATATTTTTTTTTCTATTGTTTTTCTTGAATTTTCAGGAATAGAGGAAGCCGGCCTTTAAAGAATGGCCTCCATAAACTTCGGCTTGATCTTGGCCTAATGTTAGAGGGAGACCTTCGCATGGTTCTTGCGGTTGCTGACAAACTAAAACCTGGTATTTATGCACTTGTCATCTCTGACAAATATCGACTCTTTGAATCTGGACACTTACCTGAATAAATTGTAAAATAAATTTGATGGGGGGTGGGGAAATGAATAAAATTCAATTTGCTGAGGAAATTTCAAAAAGGGGTTTGTGTTTTTATTTTATTTCTATTTATTTATCTCTTTTTGACTACAGGCAAAGAAAATGTTTTATTTTCTCCGGAATTTTTGTCAAAGAATTTGCATGCAATATGCATATCACCTTGAAATTTTGTTTCTCAACACCAGTTGGGCTACAAGTAGTTAATTGGATGACATTTAAAAGCTATTATATTTTCAATTGACTTTAATCCCTATTGGTAGCTCAGATTAACCAAGATTATTTCAAAAGCAACATTATCCCATCCCTCAGAAACCATCTTCCAAACACTGATTCCACTGAATGTTTTGTTATGATAGAGGAACCATATCAGTCCACAAAATCCTGTGTCTGACGACTGAAACACTAAATCATTTCAGATGTCATTGGGAGTAAGATGGTGGCGGTTTGGTGTGAGCCTGAAACCCAATTGATGTTGCAGGCAAGGAGCCTCATTGAGAGTACAAACATACATCATGGCTGGAAAAATCTCTGGGTCTAATCTGTGATGATGAAATATTACTACCTTGGTTTTGGCAGTATTGAAGGTTACAAGTGAGTTCCTCACCTATTGAGCTGTGCCTGCAAGGTCAGATGAGATATCAGCTGCTGCCAGGTTCTGATCATCAACAGTGAAAAAAAAAAAAAAACGAAAAAAAAGTATTTAAATCAAAACAAAAAATGTTTATAGTAGGATAATTGGATATCATTACATTATTGTGGTATAAGGTTTTTGTCAAAAGCATTTTATTTTTGGTCCTATATTGAAAGTAATCACTTTTTACAGGCTTTATTTTTAAAATGGAATAAGATCATTCTAAATTACAGAATTTCGCTATTTCCCATCAAAATGACTGAAAGAAAGCGATCAAAATACAACAATGGAAAAGAGCGGTAACAAAGCATAAACGAAATAGCTCCAATTTTTCAACTTAGGAAACTTAGCATTGCATCCAAAGTATTCTAAAATGCTGCTAATAAGAAAGGATAAAATGAAAAAATACCTAACAACAAATCGAATATACTACAAAAAATTATATTATTTTTATTTATTTGTTATGTAACTAAATACATAATTGTCAACAATGTTTCCGTAAAACTTGATATTTCCTGTAATAAATTCTTAATAAATATCATTGTTATTATATTACTTAAGTGTAAAGTAGTCCTACATTTACAATTCCTTACGGCTAATCTGAATCATGAAAAGAAATGTTAATCCAAACTGTCTGAAACCTTTCAGCGTGTATTGCCGCAAAAATTATCCAATGTTGAATACGCCCCTCCCCCCGCCGAACGCGTCATACATGATGACTGTAGTGCTAATGATGATTCTTTAAGGAAGAACACCGTGTGTAGTAATAAGAATTATCCACTGTCATAGACAACAATTTTCCTGGGTTGGTGACATTAACTTTTAATCATATTCTTCTTTATCTGATGTTTATCAGGGCAAATTAAGTGCCTCAGCACTTGGGCAATAGTGCTAGTCTGTTTCACCGTTGCTACAGGGTGATGAGTACCTCATGCAAAATTTCAACATTAAAGAAGCCAATAGGAGGTTACATGTAAAACTAGCGAAATTAACCTCATCTCCACGCCATATTGTTTGTTTACATCTTGTAGAAGTAGGTATTGTAGTCTTAACTTCGAGTTACAGTTGCTCTTCGGAAATTTAGTTATTTGCTAATCATCATCATCATCCTGTGGCCTCAGCCGAGATTGAACTCACTCCACCTCTCCAGTATTCCCTATCCGTCATAGCTCCTAAAAGATCTTCCTTGGGGATTAATGTGTCTCGTTTTATCCTATCTGGAAAGGTTAACTTGTGTGATCGATTGTCAGATGATGGGTGCCTCCAGAGTACAAATGATGACACAAGTTCATCTGTGGCACGTGCACAATGTCCGGCGAACTGGACACGTCTCTTACAAACTAAAGTTGATACTCTCGGCAAGTCTCCATATATCATTTCTAGAGTTGGGCGGTTTCGCCATGAGAGATTAAGCACTCTTCTTAAAAGACATGTATAACATCCATTTAAACGACGCTGTTGTTTTGCTGAGAGAGTCCAAGTTTCAGAGCCATAAAGTAAGATTGGCTCAATAAGTACGCGGAAAAGTTGGATTTTGAATTGACGAGCAAGATTGGATTTCCAGATTTTATCCATTTTGTTACAAGCAGTCCATGCTATGCCTTTTCTAATGTTGAAATCTTTCTCAGAGTTCTTGATGTGTGATCCTAGATACTTGTAGTCTTCGACACATTTGAGGATGTTGTCTGAGAGTGTTTTGATCTCAAGATTGTTGCGAATGTTAATTGGCATACACTCAGTTTTGGTTTCATTTTGGTGAAGATCTGCACAGTTAGCTGCTGATTCAAGAGAAGAAAGGAGTGCTTGGGCACTAATGAGGTGGTCAGACAACAGTGCAATGTCATCAGCAAAATCAGCATCGGTGATGTAGAGTGCAGGATGACGTGAGCTTCTTCTAGGCTGATACATCAGTCCATTTTCTTTGATTGTGTCCACTGATATACGCATGATGTAGTCTATTACAATGATGAAAAGGAAAGGTGCTAGTGTGTCACCTTGGAGAATGCCAGCCAGAATATCGAAAGGTTCTGTTTCACCATCTGGAGTCAGGACAGTGGCCTGTGTGTTGGTATACAATACTTTGATTGCTTCAATGATTTCTACTGGTATGCCATAGAGTTCAAGAATTTCAAACATAGTCTCGCGGTTGACTGAGTCTACAAAAATAAGAGCTGCAGTTTTATTGCAGAATATGATTTCCTCAATTATTCTACGCAATGTGAGGATTTGTCCAAGAGTGGAACGACCTGGGCGGAAACCATTTTGGTTTTTGCGTAGAATGGGTTCAACTTCAGCGCGAATTCGATTCAGAAAAAGCTTGTTATAGATTTTCGCAGCTATAGGAAGCAACGAAATACCGCGATAATTGGTTGGTAATGTCAAATCACCTTTTTTGGGGATGGGGATGATTTGCAATCGTAGCCAGATGGTTGGTAAAACGTGGCTGGCCTTTGCATAATTACACAGATCAAGAAGTAATTGGTGAAAAATAGGGTCCTTCTACAAGATGACCGGAATCTTGTCAGGACCAAGAGCTTTGTTCATTGTCTTCATTAGAACACATTTCAACTCTGCAATGGTGAACTCTCCTGTTGATATGTTCAAAGCACTAATAATTTGAACTTTTGGGAGGGACACGTGGTCTGAAAGACTTGCGGGATTATCAAGGAGGTTTTTGAAATGAGAAAGCCAATTACCAAGCCGTTGCTCACGGCTGCCACCTTTGATTGTTGGTGGGGGTTTTGATCCCTTTCCCACGAGTTCATTTATAGTTTTCCAAGCTGCAGAGTGTTGTTGGTTGATATGAAGATGGGAAATGTCAGTTATTTTCCCATTTATATAAGCTTCTTCTGCCTCAAGATAAGCATGGTCGAGGGATTTTTTAGCAGCTGTTAACTTCTTATTGCTCTGAGAAGGGTGGCAGTGGTACATCGATGAGGTTTTCTTGAGATTTTCTCGAGCTTCTGAGATTTTGATGCCTGAACTAACTGGACTTCTTCGTGATTTTGGTTTTTTGGGGAGCGTAGATAAAGCCACCTCCTCGTTGGCTTTAATCAAATTTCCATAGATCAGGTCTATGTTCCTTGAATCTAACAGAGTTCTCTGGGTCATAATGAGAGAGTTCTTGGAATCTGTTAAACATGCATACTGAGATGATAGATTTTTATCACGGTCGACCGCTTTCCAGTCAATAGATTTCATGGGATCCGCAGTTGGTCTCTTCGAAACTCTAAAACTCAGTTTAACTGTAGCAGAGACAATTCGATGGTCAGATCCCACGGAAGAGAAAGATGAGTATGCTCGGCAGTCCCTAAAGCTATTCTGCCACTTCTTACGGACCAGTATGAAGTCTAGTTGGGCTCTGCTGCCATTTGGATACTCAAACGTCCATAGTTGATTGTTGCACTTCATAAACTTAGTGTTAGCTGGATACAGATTACATTCCTCCATGAAGTCAACCAGATGCTCGCCATTACGGTTGGTTTCTGTATGGAAAGTGAATTTAGCATCATCTGTTCCAAGCTTAGCGTTGAAGTCCCCAGGTACTAAGAGAAAGTTATGAGTTGGAACATTCTCCAGAGTAGAACGTAGAGTATTGTAAAACTGGTTTATTTCTTCATCGCTACTATCGTTGTGGGGACTATAGCAAGATATGACTGTTGTTCTAGGATTACTTTTGTGTTGTAATGATATAACCCAACTTCCCCATTCACGATAATGGACGGACTAGTTGCCGATTAAGTACGACCACAGCGGACAGTCGTCAAGTCTTCGTTTGTTAACCCCTATTGAGGTTAGCACACTCCCGACCCTGTCTCTGTACTTGACACACCTACATCCGATTATAAACCTATTATTGAAAACCAACACTCAGGTTACTTTGTTTATTATATCTTGCACGAGATATAACACTTTGAAATCGGCAATAACGACTCTTGATGATATCCGCACTACACTCGATAAATTCTCCATCGCTTTTAGCGAAAGCAGAATGCCTACACCTCCTATAGATGAGTTGGCGGAGTTCTTCACACATGAGGCTGTAACAAGATGATAGTCTTCGATCCTGTGATACTCAATATCAGTGTCTGGATGGAAGAAACGATGTTCTTGAATGACAATGATATCGATATTCTGATCCTCTGCATTTTTCACAAGTTCGTTAAGACGGGACGGTGGATTCAGTGTCCTAGTATTGAACGTGCTGATAAAAGCACGGTTTCTACATGATACAAGTTTTGATCTCGTTCCTTTATCGTCAGGAGCAGCCCGCCCCGAAGGGTTCAGAGCTGTTCCCTCTGAGTTTCGAGCAGTCGCATGATGACGACCGGGCCCACCCTGCTGAACAATGGGACACCTGCCGGACGTGGGACCTTCACAAGATGTTCCAGCCCTATTCACGTCACTATCTTCAATACTTTGATTGGTGTAGTTCATAATCTTGTCAATAGCTGAATTCTTGATGCTTCGCTAGGGCTAAAGGTGTTTTTATCGTGTCACCATCACTTTTTGCCAATCATAACTGTTTATTTAATCATAGAAATGCGGCACTAGGGAGGACCAAACTCAGCCTACAGTTTGCACGATCAAATTGCTAATCAAATCATAATCATGTAAGAGTTCTTACGACATGCTTAAAAACGAATTACATTTATTTATTTAGACAAAGAAAATATTTAAAATTTTCCAAGGGAGATAAATCCTGATTTTAATATAATTATTTATTTCCCTTTTTAATTATAAACACTAAATTTCTTCAGTCTGTTCATATCTATTTTTTCTAAGCATAGTGTCACTTGGAAAGTAATGGAGGTTGCTTACAATTCTTTCTATCTATCTATCTATCTATCTATCTATCTATCTATCTATCTATCTATCTATCTATCTATATAGATAGATAGATAGATACACTCCAAAATTTTATAAAAATAATGCATGGTGAAAAAAAAAAAAAAAAAAAAATGCCCAAAACATAAAAAAAAGAAAACAATGTTTTATCATAAAAACCATTGTGTAATTATTTAGAGGGGAAAATCAAATGATTTTTTTATGCAAAAATTATTTATTTATTTATTCATTTTTTTTTTTAATCTTTTTCAGAAACTTGGAAAATTAAGGCATTCATGCCACAATCAAGGCATTAAAGCCACTGAGATACAATGGATTACTGGATGTGGAAGAATTAGAAAACAAAAACACCATTAAGGTGCGAGTACAGAAGATTAAGAGGACAGTAGAAAGCGATTAATATTGGATTTAAATTTTAGAAGATTAAAGTTAGCCGGAAAGCATGGAGCCAGGAGAGAGTTCCACAAGCAAGAAGTGTGAGAAAAGAAACTGTTAGCTTAGAACTAATTTTATTTCCATCAAAGGGAGATAATCGTTTTTTGTATCCCTACATCATTTTAAGTTTCAGTATCACTTTTTAAAGTTCTATCTCTCCCTTTTTCTTTTTATGTGTCATGTCCTTTCAGGACGTAGGCGATCATGGCTCTCCGCCTCCCTCTATCCCTTGCAGCTCTCAGCAAGCTCCTTCCCTCTGCTACCTCAGCCAGATCCCGTTCTGCTCAAGCTCGTCAGGTGTGTCCTGCGCTGCTTTCCCTTGTCTCTCTTTCCTTCTATTCGACCCGTGAGTATCAGATTCTCTAAGCCCCCCTTCTTCATTATGTGTCCCAGAAACTTCAGCTGCCTCTTTCTGATATTAAGTATAAACCTTCTACTTGTTTGTAACCTCTCTAAGATCTCATCATTGCTCATACGCTCGATCCATAATATCCTTAGCGTCCTTCTGTAGAATCACATCTCTGTCGCCTTGAGTCTCTTCTTCATCTTTGAGGAAATCGTCCAACATTCGGTGCCGTAAAGGAGAACAGATGTCACGTAAAAGCTCGGTATTCTTCTCTCAGTTCATTACCTATCTATCTATCTATCTATCTATCTATCTATCTATCAAATCAATTGAGATATCTATCTATCTATCTATCTATCTATCTATCTATCTATCTATCTCAATTGCTTTGTTTTATTTTACTTAGATTCTTGAACAGTTTTAAAAAATAATGCTTATATTCAGTGGATAACTAAAGAAGAGATCCTTTTTGTTTTTTTATAGACGAAAAAGAAATATGATTTCTCTTGGAAATACACGTCAACGACATGGCATAACTTATTTTTTTTGACCCACAGCTAACGTTCCGTCAAAATTCTTCCTTTAAAGACAATCCCTCAACCTCGCGGACACAAATCGAATACCTTTTAATGGCATAGCTATCCCTTGTCATTGGCGTACACAGTTTTAATTGTACGAGTCGATGAGCTACGTGAAGCCTTCACGAACATTTTTACAAGACCGGAAGTTACTGGAAGTAAGGACATTAGCTTACCAGTTTGGACACCACGTAAAGAAACTGATCCACTCGTAAAAAAAAAAAAAAACAAAAAAAAAAACAAAAGGGAAGATTTTTGTTGGAAATAATTTTTTATACATCAGCATTCTTCAGAGACTCCCTATGCCGTGACAATTTTCAGAAACGAAAAATCTTATTTTTTAAGGATTTAAAAGGCTGCTGAGAATACCACGGACATGTGCACGTGAGTAACGAGAAATGAGACTTACGCTTAGAACCCGAAAGAGACAGTCGCAATATCTAGGACACAATGAGGAAAGTGGGCTTGGAGAATTTGACACTCACAGGGCATAATGAAAAAATCAGAGACAGAGATTTGGTTTGGTTGATTTTGTTTAGCGGCACGGCAACCTCTATAGGTTATTTAATACCGAAATCCAAATATTTTGCACACATATTTTTATCTTTTTGGTAAATATTGGTTTTAGTGATGCAAGACTTACTATTTAATCCATAGCTAGGGAGAGAAGATATAGATTCATACTTTTCCTAAGGGTATTTGCGTGTAAGTGAATATAACGAACCCAACTGGAATTAGACCTCAGCATTCCGATTAACAATTCCGAGCCATTATCCATTACACTACTCACACAACCAAACTTACAGCACCTGTTATTTCCAAGCAGTCACCTATCTAGGTACTGATCAGGCTCGATGTTGCTTAACTTCGATGATCGTACCGGGACCAGTGTTTCAAT